CAATATGATTGCATCTTCTAAGTACATATCTTAGCTGTCTTTCGTCCTTAGCCTTAATGAGTTGTAATGTGTTCAGACACCTTCTTTAGTATTTAATACCAGTAGAATCCAGTGGTCTGGAGGAAAATTTTCTTTCCGACCATTTGAATTCATAGGGAAAACAACATATTTTGAATTTCTGAATGTTGGTATCTGCCTGTCTATTTCTTTTTCACGTGCATACCCTAGATTTGGAAGACTTACTAAGGACTACACATTCAAAATATGTAAACTATAAGGTGTTAAACAACTGACAAATAATTTAATTGAACAACTCGTAGTATATTGTGTTATTTATAAATCTTACCCAACAAAGATTGTTAATAAATTAGCAACGTCTTTGAAATGTGGACAACTCATTGTAATCATCAATTCCTTTTAGCATATCAGACCAACAATCAATGATCTGTTAAATACAAATATCATGTTCCACTACACAGACTATGTTAAACTGTCAAATAACACTTTATATCTAAAAAATTTAGTTACATGTTACACTTTTAACAAATACGTACATTGTTGTATAGCTCGTATGAAGGTGTCATTATTTTTAAAGTATCCTCCATATATATTACGCTTCCAACACCAAACCCAGACCATATTTGAGCACTACAATGTCATAAAAATTAGAAGCAAACTTGTCATATATTTTATTGTAATAAACAATTTTTTAATAACAAAGTAGACAAACTTGACAGTGACACTTACCCGTAACCTTCTTCATCATATATTGTCGTCAATTTGTTGATATCAATGGCATCCAATGCTTCACACTCCCGCCACATTTGTTTTATCTCTTTGTCTGTCAGTTCTTGAATGGTAGTTATCTTTTCATTATTGTCATTATCATCAACAATCTCAACTGTTCTCCCACATTTGTCTTCACTCAAATTGGTTTTACGGCTGATCATATCTGACATCACAATCGGATTTTTCCCTTTTTTTTCCACTGTATTCGAATTCTGCATCTCTATTTCGTTTATTGTCTCTTTTCTTGATGTTTTGGACCATAGATGTTTGTCCTATTTTTTCCTTTCCCCCATGATCTTCACCTGCAATGTTTTCCTTTTGATATTTCTAGGTTATAAAATGAACAAATAATTCATTGATTTGATCAATCAACTCAACGTTCTCCTTTTCTAGATTTTGTATTGTTTCCTTGCAACCTTGTATTTCCGCTTCAAACATTTGTTTCCTCTTTTTCAAATTTTCAATAACTTCATTCAACTCATTTATAATCGTCTCATTTTCTTGAATTTTTAATGCGAATGTAGAGTGCTGTTTATCAAACCCATCACTAGCAGAAACAAAATGTGAATGTTGCAAATAACATTTATCTGTGACAATGTTCCTTATAACAATTTTGAACACATCATTTTTCTTCAATATTTCTTGAAGCCTTTGAGTGTTTCTGTCTGCTTTTTCTCCTACAGCATCAACATTGTGCGTCGATTCGTTCATTGCAGCATCAATAAGAGATTCAAATGCTATATTTGAATCTCCATCACCTCCAATTGCATCCAACAAAACATCATCATGACCAAGAAATATATCATGTTCTGCCTGTTTATTCCCACCGCACTCAAAAACTTCTTCATCCACCTGTGCATATGTTTTTTCAACTTCACCACTTTCAATCTTTCCCTCAAATTCAGATTGGCCCACTTCTTGATCTTTGCTTCCCTTATATTTCAGAAAAATTTTCTGTTCTGCTATTCTACTCAATCTATATCTCAACACCTTTGCAAGATTTTAAAAATATACAATTGTATACATTAATTAACACAAGTGTAAATGCAAGTGTATCATTATAATGTGACATTACAGTGTTTTATCATGCAAATGTATTATTTGATAACATAAAAAATATATAAAAATTATGTAAGATGGATATATTAATTTAAATTTGTTATATTTAACCAACTTACATATTTTAACTTCAACTTTCCAAGTGTACTTTGTCTCATTGCTCTTTGAAGATCCGACAGTTTCCATTTCAGAATCCTTGGTATTGCATTTGGACTATCAGACTTGACAATTATTGTATGTTCACAAACCCAATACTGCACATACATGCAAAATTAATATAAGCAAATGAGTTACATTATGTTTATTGGACAACATAAAACAATATTGGAAATACAACCAAGCTGTTAACATCTTACCAGTAACAACATTACACATCCAGTAACTCCAGATGGGCTGCTACTCTTTCTTTGAAGTGAAGATATAAGAGGTTTATGTATTACACTTGACCAATCGTACTTCTTCATTACATCTATATCCTCAACATATGAAACAAATCCCCATCCTATAGATGTCCCAATGTGTGTGAAAAATAGTGTTACAATTAAGAATAGGCATAGGAGTCTTGCAACGTCATCAACGTCATATTTTTTTATACCTCTTGCTGCTTCAAACAATCTGCTTCTTATCAAGGTTGATGTCAACTTGCTATCTTTCTTGAATCTTCTTTTAACAAAATTTGTATTTTCCTTAGCATGAGATAAAGAATTCATGGGATCACGTCCATCATCAATGACAAAAATTATTTTCACATCACTCCTTCTCAATTTAATGTCCTTCCCACCAATGTGAAATTTAGATTTATTAATATCAAAGCATATAATTACATCCTGTATGATAGTATTGCTATTCCTACACCATGTCCTGTCTAGTTTTTTTTATCAATGATGCATTCAAATAGTAACCAACAAGGTATTTTCCTCAAAACAACCTTGTGTGCTTCACTAATGTTAATTTTATCTATTGCTCTAATTATCGCAAGCAAATTCGATATGTATTTAGCATCTTGTTTCAATTCCACAAATTTTTTTTCCCCATCACAACTCTGAGTTGGGAAGTGACAAAGAAAAAATTTGTATAAAGTATTCCAAAAGGTTAACTGAAAATATAACAATATAAACAAATAAGTTAACCAAAAAAAATTGTATAACACAGTCACATGAGTGAATCAAATAACAGTGCATGACACATTTAAAAGTGAACCAAAAACAATGTATAACACAGTGTAATCAGTAAAACACAAAACAAAATATAGCCAAATTCAGTGAAGCATAAAACAAAATATAACTAAATAAGTGAACCAATAATAGTGTCACCCTTTTTATGTAACATTGAAAGTGTAAAGTGTAAAATGTTACCTTATGTCTAACCTTAGCTGATGGTAAAATGTTACCTTTTTATAATGTTACCTTTTGTTACATTATATTGGTAAGTTTGTTACACTTTCATGTGTTACCCTTTACATGTTACAATTTATATATTACTCTGTGAAGTTAATACAATCAACATTTAATCTTAAAAATATTTAATCACAAAGTATAAGAACAAACAACCATGCCACTAAACAACCCGGGTAGTTAACATTCACAACACAAAATTTTTTTAAAATAACAAAAAAACTCAGTGTAAATTTAACAATATAACAACATAAAAGTGAATCAATAATTGTGTAATGAAACACAATTTTCCAAATAGTTTTTCAATCTTCAAACAAATAAAATAAGGTTCCAATATATGAATTTAAACAAGAAAAAAAATGTATTGTAACCCAAGTTGATAATACCCAAAAAATAAACAAGAAAAAAAAGGGTAATGTACTGATTTTTTACTGTGTAACCCATTGTGATAGTGGAAAAAAAAACATATTCTTATTGAACAAGGAACAAGGGTTACAAGGGTTACAACATCCAACAATTCATGGTATAAACAAAACATAATTTAAAGGCTTTTGACCAAAAAACAACAAAGATGAACATTATTCGTCTCTCAATATTCAAACAAACAAAATAAGGTTCCAATACATGAAATTAAAGACAAAAAAAAAAAATGAAAAGTGTAATGTAACCCATTATGATAACATACAATTACATAAACATGAAAAAAAAATGTATTGTACTAAATTTTTTGATTCGGTGACTTATTATCATAATACACAATATATATAGATACACACACACACATAAATATACATACATACATTACCTATTTTGACGATCAAAACATTCAACGAGCACATAATACCCAAGCACGATCAACCACAGTACAAACAACGAGCAAAGATCAAAGTAACAAGGGTTCAATGCCGAAAAAACCCACTTCAAATGACAATGTCGAAAAATTTCACTTCTTAGAAAACCCTTATCAATCGATCGACTGTTTGTAACCTGAATCCTTATTGAATCGATGAACAATGGAGATTCAACACCCTTTGTATGAGTACATCGACAATCAGTTGAGGAAGAAAATAAAAAACCTTCTTTGAATGGATATACAGACCATCGGTTTGGTGGGAAGAGAAATAATGAGCAGCTATTTTTTTTTCTTGGAACACAAAGAGATACATTATGGTTTTTGAGGAAGTTGAAAAGATTTTGAATTAATGGAGCATAAATTTTAGCAGTTATGATAACTGTAATGTTACATTTTTTAATGAAATAAAAAAAATAAAAAAAGGGCATTTAAGTCTTTGCACCCAAGTACTGTACCTTTTTTCAAAACGTTTTTTAATGTTTATTTTTTGTCAAATAAGTCTAATTAGGTGTACCGGCTTCCAAAGAACCCTTATTTTAATTCAACTCAATTTAACCCAACTCATAACCAACCTAACCCACTTATAACGAGACTATCTATGCTTCTTTGAAAGTAAAAATCACTTATATGTACCATGGACACATATGTATCATATATATATTTTTAAAGTTTTACGGTATTATTATATCTATAGCATATCGTATCCATATTTGTGCTTTATAGACAGCGGAGTATTGTGGTGACAACCATGCATATTGTATAAACTTGTATACCAACCCCAGTTGTAGTAATCAATAATAGTTCTCGGACATGAAAGAATTCAGATCAGTTACAATCCTATTATTCTCATAAAATTCTTCTTCTCAATCCTACAAAGTAACCTAAGAACAAGGAAGATAAAGCATTTAAAGAATAGCATTGTAAAGTATTTGATTCCAAGTATCAGGCACTCCGGCAAGGCACCAGTGGATGCAGTCCATCCCGGTGGGACCGTTGAAGCCGTAGATTGAAGGGTGTCCGTCTTTTCGCAGCTGCGAAAGGTGTGTTATATTAAGCAACTTGACAGGTTTTTGAATTGTGCTCAACACTTTGTCCAGCACTGCTACAGCAGGTGGCATAACTCCTGCATATGTTGAGCCCAATATTGGTTCCTCCTGCCCCAAGCAAGCCTTTGAACTTGGTTCGTTCCAATCGGAGCCACTGATCATTTGGAAGTATGAATATTGTGAGATTACCATTAAGATTGACTCTCTGTCCTTGCTCTTTTCACTCCTTTACGTGGAGGTATAAAGTGATAAACATGATAGTTAAGGAAGTAATATGAGACATGAGACATAATTAAGGGGCAAAAGTGTAATTTATCCATGAAGCTATTAAAAATCTTACTTGTAATGGGTTGGGGAGATTCCTTGAAAGAAAACCATATTTCTGCCAGGATCAATGTTGGAGTCCACCCAGCCAGCCCACGTAGTGAGTGCCTTCTCAAAAGCAACCATCCGATCCATGTCTTTGTATATTTTCCCTCCAACTTCGATGTAATCCCATCTGGGAAAAAAAATCCCAAAAAAGGAAATTTCTTTTATTTAAAACAATGCACATTAACTGGAAAACAAATTATTAGTGAACAATATACAGAGAGGAAATAAATTGTTGAAAGAACGAACGGTTGTCCCGGTGCTCGTCGATACCACCAATGCCATGTGTTGAAGATGAGCATGTCAATCTGCTTCCATAGCTCCCCACTTTCAATTGAATGTAGTTTTAAGACTGCCCATTTTTTCATTTACAACATCCACCAAGAACAGATTGTGTTGGCACATTACTTTAACTCCAAATTCCTGCATATTATAAATACCTAGGTGAAATGAATATGCAAATAAGAAGCAGTACAACTCGACCATATGATACAAGGAACAAACTAGCACATATACATATACAAGGCAGAGCGTAAAATGGGAGTAAATATTCATCAGAAAAGAAATACCACGACAGAGTTATTGTCAACTGGTACAAACTAGCTTGTGGACACAGTAAATCGTTACACTATCATATATATAGATATCTAACATAATATAATAACTACCACATATACATATAAAATTTTAACACGATAAGATACTAGCTAGTATCATGTGGTACCGGGATTTCGAATGTGGAGACATTGGCTTGTGTTATTTGGTTGTATTTGATGTTGGGCATTGCTGTATAAATCAGGCACACTAGGGAATGAAACTGGTTTCGGCTAAGGGAATCTCCTACAAACATTACACTTTTCCCTTTGAGCTTCTGCAAGAACCCTTTAGCATCGAACCTACAATGAAACAAACCAAAAAGTTTCAACGTCATTGAATGGTTTCCCACGTTTAGACAATAATGTTCAGAACATGGCGGAAGGCTGTATCTTGCAGCCTTTTGGTGTTTTTTTTTGGGGAGACAAAGAGAGGCAATTTGAAAGAGTTATTTATTGATCTATGATCTTTTTAAAATAATATATTAAAATACGATATTTTTGAACTTATTTATATGATTACGATATATTTTAAAGTCAAAACAGCAAGCTCACTTTTATTAAAAACAAAATCAATAAACCCACTTTTAAATAAAACATATGGTCCATAGGTACAGTAATTATATATAGAGGACATGAAAAACGTGTTTACTAAATATATTTTTCTAAAAATACGTGTTTACTAAAATCGTTGAAGTGTTTATAGTTGTAACAATATTTAGTTGTAGTGTTTATAAATGAAAAGTGTTAAAAGTAAACACGTTTTTTCACAAAAGTATCTTGTATCTTGCAGCCTTTTTTTTTTT